TAAGCACACAGAAACTGTATTAATTAAATCGCTGCTTGGCCCATTGGCTAACTCTTACATGTTAATTTAACCCATCTCCATTAATCTGTGCATCGCCATGTGGCAGTAGATTACCGGCGAATGTCTATCTCTGGTGGCAGCCCCATGGCTCTCCTAACTCCACCTTCCTCCTCCCATGCTATAGGCTATGCCAGTTTCCTTTATTCATTAACCAATAAAATCAACACATAGATAGATGAACCTTCCTACATCACTTCATCACATACATAAAGTATTCACTGACCATTTTCTAATGCTTTTAACCAAATCTACATACACTGAATTCAATGAGTTTCCTAAAAGGCCAGACAAGGGTGTAGAAGACAAAGGGGAAAGGCATGGAGTAAAAGATGGTGATGCTTTGGGAATGGCTCTGGAGGCCTCATGGGAGCCAAGACTGAAAGAGAAGAGAAGAGAACTAATGATCACTTTTTAGAGTAGGTTCTACCCATTGGCTCCAGGCTTAGCTGTGATAATGCACATCTCCAGAACCTGGGTCAAAGGTGCACAGGAAATGACAAATGAATGCACCCCAGAGCTTTGTGGAGTCAGGAGAGGACAGATGCTAACTCCTGGATCTGACCTAAGTTAGACAAAGCAATTTCTGTGAACAACTTCTAAATAGTTTGCTTCCCCCCAGAGGGTATGTAGTTAATACATAAATAAATCTGAAAATTTAGCAGATGGTGATGGCATGACATTATATATGCCAGAAACTGCTATGACTCTATTCTCAAAAAACTAGAATATCAGTGCGGTTCAAAGTGCATTACATGTGAGTACATTCATGTATGCATGTGTACCTGCAAGCTGGGACAGAGGAAAGGAAGAAATTAAGAGTATTAATAAATTCAGATCAATTCAAGACTGCATATGAATATCGAACTTGTCTTTCTGTTCTGCTTCAAAAACACAGGCACTGTTTACTTTGAAAGCACCATTCTGGTAACCGAAGAGTAACTTAGCAATGCTCAGTGAGAATTGTAGTTTTCCCCCAAACTGATAAGCATCTTATTTAATAAATAGCCCACAATTCTTCTCTTGAGTTCACTGCTTGGGCAGTTGAAAGTCAAACTTCAATACTCAGTGGTCAATATAACAGGAAACAGAAAAACAGAAAGAATTTAGTTCTCTATAGTTGCAAAGCCAATCAGATCCAATTGCTATTTATAGAACTTTCCATACAACAGAAGCAGAGCGTGTAGACATGCACTTCAGTGGCATACTTCCCAACACTAATAGGTCAAAACTGAAGTTCCAAAAGAGGGTGAATATATTTAAAACTAAACAGGAACTGAAAAAGAAACACATTGAGTACATCAGTATTTGTTGGATGCAGCTAAGGCAATGTTTAGTAGGAAATTTATTATTGTAAATGCTAACTTCTCCAAGAGAAAAAGATAATGATCAACTCACAAATATAAACTTCTAAGTGAAGAAGCTAGGATATTAGAGCTTTGATAGAGTGGTGGCTGTAAGAAAAGAAAGGAGAAGCAGCGGAGAAGGAAGAGCAAACAGAGAAAAGAGCAAGAAAATGAGAAAAAGGAGGAGGAAGATGAGAATGAGGAAGAGGAAAGGGGGAATGGTAAAGGAAGAAAAAAATTTTGGGAAAAACAGGAAAAAAGGGAGAGGTGCAAAGTAAAACCAAACACACAGAAGTCAGGAAAGCAAACCAGAGACAAATGAGGTTGGACAAAAGAAAACATTAGGAAAAAGTTAAAGTAAAACGTGAGGTGTTTTGTTGAAAGATAATCAAAATTGGTAAATCTCTGGTACTGAAAGTTTCCAACATAATAAATAAAAATATAATTATCTTTTTGGTATTAAGAGAACACAAAGGAAATATTTCAAACAATTCTGTATGCATGGGTTTAGCAATTATGATTCAATTTATCATGTTCTCAAAAACTACATTTTGTCCAGACTCGCCCAAGATAAAATAATAGCAGCAGTCCAATAAAGACATTCAATTTCTCGCTTCTGAAAAAAACTTATCAGACCTAGATAATTTCATTGGTAAATTCTACCAAATGTGTAAAAGGGAATATTATTCTATAAAGCTTTTCAATGTCAATCAACATCTGTGCTGGGACTAGAACCCTGGTCCTCTGGAAGCGCACCCAGTGCTTTTAATGGCCAAGTTATCTCTCCATCTCTCAACACTGCAGTTTTTAATGCTCAAATTTTGCTTATATATACTCTTTAGTTGAACTTTTCAGTCGGACATCTTCATATTTCAGAGTTTCTTCAAGCTATGCTTTGGTGACATCAGTTTTGCAAATGTGGAATCATGTTGCCCGTTATAATCAATTTTACTCATATTTCAAAGCCTAATTACAAAGCACTCTTCTGTAACATATTGCTTGTCTTTCTCAATCTTAATAAATCAGTACTTTGTCATGTTTCTATAAGAAAACCCACACATCTGAGCAGATTTCATAGACAACTTTATATCCATTTGCTTTTAATGCTAGCTGTTTCATGGTCTTCTTGGTGGGGGAGAACCAATGACTTTCTCATCTGCACCCTAAGAAACATGCCATATGTAGTAGCTAAATAATAAGACTGTTTGGACTTGTATACAGGATGGAAATACTATATATATTTGGGTCATATAAGTAGGGTACTATGATAGGTACTAGGACAGGTGCTATGGCATATTCTACCAAGCACACACATGTACACACACACACACACACACACACACACACACACACAGAGAGAGAGTAGAAGTCTGTTGATGTGTACAGCTGAAGACTTTTTAAGTGTATCTGGGATGAGTCAGTAAGGATTTATAAAAACAGAGAATTTTAGGTAATTACCACAATTTCCTTAAAGAAAACTCTGATTAACGTGAAGTATAGAGGAAAAATGAGTGCAAAATAGTTACTTGGTCAGCATCTGTCACTAAGAGAATGATTAACTGTTACTATTTAATACACATTTTGAACATATTAGAGGCATGCTTACACAGATCCAAAGCAAGGCAAGATAGAGAAATAAAGTAATATATAAAACAATAGAATCAAGAATCATTAAGGCACTTGAAAATGCAGATTAATACATGACTTTTTTGAGATATTTTACTCACCCTCACTCTTAACCCAATAGGACTAATTTTCAGAGGCATAAAACACATTCTAATTTTTAAAAAGATACACAGTATCTACAATTTGATACAATCTAATATAACATCCATACATTAACTTTCTTTGTTAATAATCAGACCAAAACATCATGATTCTATTTCTTGGCTATATGAAAAATCAGAAAAGACTAGAATGAATTTCTCAATTTCTGTCCTTAGCAATCTGACATGTCTTTTCATGCCCATTATAGAGTTGCATTTCTTATACAGTGAGAAAAGAATTGGCTGAGTTCCCAACTTATTAAAATACTATATTGATGGGGAAAGCAATTTATGTGTAGACTTTACAAAGTATTTAGCAATTAACTGATAATGGAAATGTGAAAGACTGCTACTTCACAGTTGAAACAAGCCCCACACAGTAGCACAGCTGTTCTGAAGGACTGGGCATCTCAGGGACAGCCTAATTCCTAATTCACAGAGCACAGCACCGCTACGGCCTCCTGCACAAAGCCACTATTTCGCCATGCCTGCCACTGAGACCTGTTGTAATTTGGCCCTGTGTGTGTAACTGCCAATCATATTTAACTATGTGTGTATAGAGATAAAGATAAGAAGGTATTAGGATAGTGCTAGTATAGAAGTTGACAATTCATATTAAATTAGAATTTATGACAATTGTAAAATCTTTTGAATTGAAAACAGGGTATCTACAGAAAGGTAAGCTTGTTTATTTGTTGAAATTCATTTTTCTCTCCTTCCATGGACACATCAATACAGCTGTCTCAAGGGCTTTCTTATTATTTTGTCCTCTCTGCCTTCCTTCTGAACCCCTACTCTGCACTCTTGAGAACTACAATGACAAAAATGTGGTCCCTTATCCCCGAAAAGACATAAACATAAACAGGTATAGTATTGTGTAACACAGAACATACCAAATGTTAGCATCACGGTTGCTTCAGAGGGATGGTATTTAATTCCAGGGGAGGGAGATAGCGACACAGAAAGGAATCCAAGAGAAGGTAAGGAGGGCAGTGAGGAGCAGGTAAGCACTGGACAGAGGGAGGGAAAACGTGGAAATGGTGTTTTGGAAGAGAATGTTTTCAACAGGAAAATGAAACAACAGGCTAGCCCAGAACGTTAGGAAACGAACTATGTCAGGGTGTAAATTAGAATGATCATAGAGACTGGAAATTTAAAAGCTTGCAATTTTAAACTTCCTAACTTTTGGTATTCCCATGTGGCCAAGAGTCAGACTAGAAAAATCTTTTCAGTACAAGAACACACAACTTCTTTAAGACAGGCAAACCTCTGCTGGGAATGATCTGGGTTTTTTTTTTTTCTCATTAGTATAGGTATTAGTATTTTGATCTGTATCAAAACTAAAAGGAATGTTCCTGACCTAGCCAGAGATGGAAGTCACTGGTATGGTTTGGCCATTAGCTAGCTAGGTCGCAGATCTAGCATCCTAACATTAGGAGTGACACAGTGGCAAAGCCCAGACAATACAGCTTATTTTTATCACCTTTGTTCATTTCCTGAGTGCATGCACAGAGTTACTTCTTCCTTCAACATTATAGTGAAGCCAAGTGAGAAGAGTGGTTCCCACAGTGCCTGGATTTGGGCAGAATCAGTTCCAGTTTCTGCTTCTCTAGGAGTCTGAAAACCCTGGTGACCTCATCCTCTCTAATTTGGGTTTAACATGTAGAACAACTCAGAAAACGACCAAACAAATGAAAAGAAAAACCAGCTGATCATTCCCCAGTTGACTTGGTTTGCTCTCTTCCCAATGTTCTGATCTGTTCAGAACCATCTCCTTTTGATTTGCTGATAGCCTGGCCCCCACACTGAAGAGGAAGCTCAGGGTACTCACCCACATGGGGTCAGTGAGGTCTGAGTCTTGCATACGAATACAATCCATGCTAATCTCAATCTTGTTTGTTGCGCCATTTTCTGATGGTTCTTCCACAAAGTTCAAGTCGATGGGCTGTACTGAACATATGGGCCTAGCACAAAGAGGGAAGAAGGTGTGCATCACAAATTGGGAGAAGCTACAAGGTATTTGACTACTTAACTATTAATATTGAATATGCACTGTCTCCATGTTGGCTTGTCCTTGCTTAGAAATCAAAAGCCCCAGGTTTGCATCTGGACACAACCATTTCCCATATGAAGAATCAGAGGAAAGGCAAACTAAATCCTACTTGCCAAGTTGGAGGCACGATCTCTGCTGACTGACATGCAGGCCAACATGGATAGATTAGTGACCGAGCTATGTGTAGATCCTGGGATATCAGCAGTGTGTGGGAAGCACTCTGGTGTCCCCTTTCATTTTCATAGTAACTTTACTAAAACCTGGTATCAATCAAAACAGTAATAACCATTTTTCACAGAGGGTTTAAATGACCACTGCAATGGAGTGTTTCACCGTTGAGGATATGTCTTCAAGAAAAAAGAACAGGGTTTGAGTGCCAGACACCGACACCGGGGAAGATGTCTTGGATTGTTCTGGGGAAAACATTTAGAATGTCCGCAGTGAGCTACTTTAAGACAATGATCTTCTTTTGGTATTGGAAACTAGAGAAAGAAAACGAATTTATTTCCAAAGCAGATATATTATCAAAGGCCTTAAGTTTATAAAAGTATAACTTTTACTAACTGGTTTTTCAAAAAATATTCTGTAGTAAATGATATTTCAGACATTTGTGTTCACTTATTCTTAAAGATTTCAGGCACACTTCTTGATTAGATGATACTTACTGTTCCAGAAAATCCCAAATATGCTGGAACACTTCCGGGCTGAACAACTCACTTGTTTGGGAGCTCTGTGACATGGCGGATCGGTAATAACTTTCTTTCCAAGAGAAATGAGCTGGGGTTTCTACGAAACTTAAAAGGACAAAGAAAATGAAGCTAAGATTATAGTTTCCGAATTCACGACACTGGCTAATGAAATCAAACTCGAAACGATCTGGAAAACACCAATGAGTCTCAACAGTCAGACAGGCGAGTGTAGCCCCGTTCCTACATTGCACAATTGGTGCTTCATTCGAAAGCAGCATGGACTACGTTCTGCATGAAATCAAGGCAGGACTTCCAATGCGAGACAATCAAGTCTCCTTTATCACATTCATCTCTCTTAATTAATAGCATTGTTACTGTATGCTATACTTACACTTCCCAACAGAGTGTAGATTTCAAAAAGAAAACAAACACCCCTTCATTAAATCTGTCGGCAAGTCTGGCCTATCATTACGCCTATTTTATAAGAGCCTCAAATGGTTATCTGCCCTTTCTGCCTCCAGCAAGCAAGAGGTAGAATTGAAAAACAGAAGTGATTTCAGAGAACTTAAATTTCGCCCTCAGATTAATAACTTCTCTTGTAGCTACAATTTTAGCATCACACTCTCGGACAATAAGTATAAGCTCTTGGACCTAAGGCTTTATTTTTTTTTTTTAATCGCTAGTTGTTTACCAGGGTGTGTGCGGAGGTGTTGCTTAATTGGAGTTAGAATTCACAGGTTAACAAACACTAGGATACTGGGACAATTAATGCCACTTCAATTTGTTCGTTTTGCTGCTAGGTCCTCAAGTACGCCTTTTTTTTTTAATTCAACTCTGATCCCTGTTTATCTAGAGTGAAACTCCAGCTTCCACAGTTGATATATTCTCCACGTCTGAATATTATCTGCCTAGATAATCTGGGTAGTGATTTGCTATAATGATCAGTAGGCTAATTTTACCTCAGAATGAAATCAGTTAGCTCTTAAATCATTGCTCTTCATATAAAAATTAATTAAATTAATAGTGTACAAGGACAGTAAATCCTCTTCCCTTTCAAACGTTTATTCTATATTCGCTTTACATAGGAGAGTACAGTACTGCAGTTATTAATAAGTGATACTAACCTATCTCATCAGTACATTGGTCAGGTTACATATATAAAATAATGAATAAAATATGCCTTGTTCACCAAGAAGCATCTGAGTATTGAAAATAAAAAAAGTGAGTATGACTGTCTCATTCCTCTGGGAGGTCATGGTGGAGGCAAGAGCAAAACAAATCCATAATAAACTTGTTGAGTATAAACATCTCTATTAAATCATCATATATAATTTCTGCAAGACCAAAGGAAGAGCCAAGTGGCTGAGAGAGAATAAGCCAGCATAGTAAGTGCTAATGTGCAGAGTAGGTAGAAGAGCAAGGAGGCCAATCAGGTGTCTGTCTCTTCCACTTGGGGCTACAGTCAAAGATGAAGTGCTAAGATGGACAATAACGTGGTGCATGCAAAACAGTTTGATGTAACTCCGTGTTAAGGCTGTGTAAAATGCTGGACACAGAATGTGGAGCTATGCAGTTAATGAGGATATGAAATTTACATGCTGTGCCTAAACAAGGGCGGGCACTAAAACTTACAATGAAAGGCCCTTTGCTAAGCTATTCTTTCAAGATTTCTTTTTCATTTTAAACATGTGTACATTCCTGTGTCTTTGTGGATATATGTGAATGAGTGCAGGTATCAGTGGATCCAGAAAAGGGAATTGGATCTCTTAGAGAGGGAGTTATAGGTGGTTGTGAGCTACCAGGCGTGGTTACTGAGAACCAAACCCTTCAAGGTCCTTACACACTCTTGTCCACTGAGCTGCTTCAGCAGTACCTTTTTAGCTATTTTAAATGGACTTCTTGTCTCAAAATAATTATAAAACCATAAATGATTATGATAAATACTATATAGAGATCTTAAGTATCCTTTATGCAGTTTTGCCTAATGGAAATAACTTACAAAAAACCCATCATCTACTGACATAGCCAGGACACGACTTTAATGAGATTCACAAATCTGTACCAGAAATGCTTAGTGTCACTTACATTTGTGTGTGTTGTATGTATGTGTGTGGTGTGTATATGTGGTGTATGTACTCAAGTTTACATGTTTATCACTGTTTAGGGCAATATACACTATATCCACAAGACTAAAGGATTTGATCCATGCAATGGATGCAATCAGAATATATATCTGTCTGGATATTGCATGGAGGAAGGACTTAAAGTGATTGTTTAGAAAATTGTCATTGACAACCTAGGTAAGAAAACAGGAAGAGGACAAAATATTTATACAATTCAAACTCTAAAATGAACATAAATGGTCACAGGAATAGTCATATATATGTGAGACTGGATAGGTCAGGAGACAGATATGAGGGGGAAAAATATATCCCATACATATATCCCAGGAGCAATTTCTTCCAATGGTCAGTGTGTGCTTCATTGCTGTTAAACACCCTTGAAGTTGTAGTTAGGGTCCTCCAATTACATCAGAAACAAAGATACAAAGGAAACTTCCCAAACTGCCACACATGGACACTAATAAAGGATCTAAATTAACATAAACCACTCATTTGGAATGTACTTTGACTGCCTGTCTCCAACCATGCTCCTGTGGGCTCTTAAAAAGAACCTGGATATGAATATCCTAAAATGTGGCTGTAGGCGTGGCTCGGTGCTCTCCCAGAGGACTTGAGTTTGGTGCCCAACACCTCTGTCTGGTGGCTCACGACTACCTATAACTCTAGTTCCAGTGGATTTAATTCCCTCTTCTGGGATCTTTGGGCACCTGCACACAGACAAAATAGATGAACGGACAGACACCACACGCACACACACACACACACAGACCTTTTTTTTTTTTTAAAAGGCAACATCTAGAACTTAAAAGAAGATCCAGTTCTCTAGTCCTCCGTAATCTGAGATGGGGAAGAGGGATACTTTTTATCAGTAGTATATCACCTATCTCCTACATATTCATTCATAACATTCCTTTAAATTATGTAATGCAGAACCCAATGGGCAGGTACCAGCATCTTCTGACATACTCCTCCCTTCTGCTCAGTGGCTACAGTCTGTTTCTAGAGCATGCTGTCCTGTGCTTCACTTTGATAAATAAACTTCCTCTAAAACTGGGTGGATTTTTTTTCCCTTTCTAAGAATCTAAAAATCTAGAAATGCATACCCGGTAAAATATTGACCTCCAAATGGAGAGGAGGAAACCACAGGGGAAGGCAGGCGCAGGGGTGGTGAGGGGAGAGAAAAGAGTTCAAGGCTATGTAGGATGCATTCATGCATCTCCTTTGCAAGCAGAGTTAGTTTCTGGTTCAGTGTCTCAGCTTGCAAACATCACAGGGTGGGGGGGTTGGAGAGGTCACCCGGGGCCATAGGGCATGAAGGGTGAAGTCAGTAAGCACCGCCTATCTTTTAATTCCTTGCCTATGGGTGAATCTCAGTATCAATTACTCATGCAACAATGGGTCCCTTCAAAGGTCTCTGTCAAAGCAGTCACGCCCGAACACTGAAGTCTGAAATCTGAAGATGTATTTTTTTACAACTTTTTTTTTTTTTAAGAACCATCCTTCACTCTTATACTAATTCAGGAAGAACACTTTGTGTGTGTGTGTAGGAGTTACTGGAAAAATGGGAAACACATATATCAACAGTTGGCATCTTCTTTTGCTTTCTCATTGCCCCATCAAGCATAACTTCTGCTCGATTTTGTTCATTTACTACATGGAAAGGCTGAATTAAAACACCAAACCAGAGAACAATCAGGCCAGTTCTGTTGTGCTCTAACTTGGCTCTTGCCACACCATTTTTAAAAATACATTAGGACATGTGATGCTAAAACTTTCACACCTAAACCAACCTATGGCTTCTTAGCAGTGCCCGTGCTTATCATCTGTCCAAGAGCATAACTATGGGAAATTAATTTTAATAATAACGTCTCCCTGTTTCCCTTCAGAACATATATAGATACAAATGTATAAACCTAGAAATTCACTTGATTCTACTCAAGTGTGCCTTAAGTTAAGTAACAGAAAAAGTAATAGTAAGCAAGGCAAGCTGGGGAAGCTTCTGGTTGCTGCTAGATTTTCTGCTTCAAAGAGCCCTTGATCAGATCTCAGTCCCCACAACAGAAAGGAAAACAACTCTTCTAGAAGCCTCTCCAGCAGCTAGGCTCACACTGGAATTCACATGGGCTCTGGGGATGTGTTCATGCCGGAGTCCCAGCCATGAAGGAGGAGCAAGCAGCCCTTCTAAGAACCTCCTCCCCAGCAGCTAGGCTCACACTGGAACTCACATGGGCTGCGGGGATGTGCTCATGTTCATGCCTGAGTCTCAGCTATGAAGGATGGTTAGCATACCAAGTGCATCCTGTCTCATTAACATCACAGCACAGCTGAGGTCCCAATAGCAGGAACTGCCTCAAGATCCACTGTTGTTGCTGCAGTGTTGGCTGCAGAGAACAGGAGGTTCACTTCCCTGGGACTTTCCAAGCAATGGTTAATCACAGCTATTACCTTAACGCATTATTATGAAATACATTGAAAAGAAAGTTACATTAAAATACAAAGGTGATTGATAGATACTGACAACTCATCTCCTCTTAATCGTTTTGCTATCTAGCGTCCATCCATCTGAAAGCCAGTTTACAAAGAAATATGGTAGACTGGCTTAGGTAAAAATAGAATAATCAGTGAATTCAGCACCATCCCTCTGAAATAATGCACATAATATACTTGGTGATATGTTTCATATGCAAGGGCCTCAGCCATCTACAAAGATTCTAGCTTGTGGGAAACCAAGCAGAGGGGTTATCTAATAAAAAGAGCATGTTGCTTTTTTGAAAGTTTTTTTTCATATACTATTAATAGAGTGTTTTTAAGTTTTTCTTAATTTTTACCCATTCTCATAACACTTTGCGCACAAATTTCTAATTTCCTACTGGTCTGTGTCCATCTTAGCAGCAGAAAAGCCAACACGGGTCGGTCCTTTCAGTTTGTGCTCTGCCGCTCTGAGGACAGGCAGCAAAGCTTTGCTATGGATTAAGGCAAGAT